CGATGAGAATTACAGAAATGCAGATAAGGGCACAACTCAACCTCTGACAGTGAAAAGCGGAAACAAGCAGGAAGCAAGCCAGCCAAATAATGATACACAATAGCCACCCTGATGGTATGATGTTCAAGAAAAGCAAGGTACACAACATGGAGGAATATGTCGAGAGGAACATGATGAAAATAGTTACCTGTTGCTGCACTCTCAACCGTCCAAGCGTAGGAGGTCGGAATAGAATGATGTCAGAGAAGTATCATATCAGGCCCGAGGCAAAAACGAGAGACGTAATCGATTATAGCGAAGAGGAATAAATGGTCCTTTGGAGGAGGGGGGGGATTAGTGGTAGTGATTGACAGATGGAGGAGGGCGTCCTGGCGAAAACAAAAGAAGGTCAGAGGATAGAGAGCGCGGAAAGAGAGATAGTTATCTGTTTTCAGACAACCCCACGCAGCCAGAGTTGAGTAAACGAGGAGAAGGTATATGTTGGCGTAGGCGCGTAGGAGTTGGCAGACGTAAATTAGTTGTGCAGAGAGGAAAAGTTGAGGTGAGGACCGTGAAGTTTGAAGATGAACTCGAAGGGGAGGAAAGGAACCCGAGGCAGATCGCAGCAACGGCCCCCAACAACGAGAATTATTTATTTATTTACCACGACCAACAACCACTCTAGGTATTGCTAGTAAAATATATTAGTTACTTACAACGACAAACCACAGCTTCAGATGCCATCTAGTTCTACTTCTCGCAGCATTTTTTATTTGCTGTGTTTATTCTTGACTGCTGGTCACCCCGTTAATATTTATTCAGTAATTAACTATTAACGTAGTTACACATTATCATTACACTTCCAACTTTCCTTCCCCCCTTTCCCTGTCACGGCCTGTCAAAAACCTTGTCAAGCCAGCCAACATCCACCGAGTTTATTTGCACCTATTAAGTGTCAGGATTCAGTAACAGGGACGGACAGGAACCCACAATAATCGAAGGCCCCCTGCTAATATACTCTCTTAGCCGAAGCTTTGGTGGGGAAGTTACATGCTCCCTTCCAAGATCCAAGAGCCCTTCATTCTGGCAGCCATCGCGGTGCTGAAAAGACTGTTCAACAGCCCATAGAAGGAAAAAGGGGCAGGTAAAAAAAGCAAAAAGACAAAAATAATATTGGCCTAACATGCGAAAAAGGAGGAACAAGATATTCTGGTCGGGCCGCGTCAACGGCCAACCGGATTCATGGGTGGAACCGTGGAAGTTCTGACCACCCCCCGACACCCGCATCTGCTCCCCCCACCCCACAAGATGGGCCCCAGAGCACACGCTACAACCAGCGATCAACGGGTAATTGGCCACTGCCTTTCGACGGGCGAGTCCCTAACTCGCTCTAGCTGCAGGACCAGTGTGATTTCCAGAGTTCCAGTCGCCTCAATTGCTTTTCGTCTGAGTTCTTCATTGGCTGCTGTTAAGGTTTTTTGGTAAGATCCCGTGCTCTTTCGGCGCTCTGGTTGGCTGCCCCTGAGGAGAACGCAGCGTGCATGGTACCCCATTCACTCCAAATGCGCCTGTTTTCTTGCGCATATGCTCCTTTGCTTTGCATCTCATCTCCGTTTATTCACTTTTAGATAGAATGTTGGAAAAGATTCACGATCCATTACAGTGATATCTATGTAGGGAGTTTGCCGTACACACTTGGACTTGTTTCCGAGGCTTGCGCGATCTCACCGTCCTCACCTTACAGCAATCACCTAGTTCTCTCCATCAGTCACCCCTGAATTTCCATTCTCAATTTGAATCTCTGTCAACTTTACGCGATGTAACTGTTCAGTGGCCAAAACGGTGGGAATGGCACAGTTCCCCATCTTTCTCCTTGTGCGGCTCTTTTCTCCACTCCTTCGCTAATCCCAATCTTTCATTTTCTGTCCTGGATCCTTCTACCACTTTTTCCTTGTGTTCTTATGTTCTTCTTCTTCTTCTTCTTCTTCTTCTTCTTCTTCTTCTTCTTCTTCTTCTTCTTCTTCTTCTTCTTCTTCTTCTTCTTCCTCCATTCTAAACAAGGATCTGTTTTCTAGAGTCTATTTACTAGCTTTCTTGGCTTGTGTTCAACTTCTATGGAATTTCTCACGATGCCCAAAAGGATGACTGAAGAAGAGTGGGAGTGCAGACTGCAGGCTGAAGATGGTCTGCCTGATAAGTCCCTGTTGAATGGGAAACAGGTCTTCAAGAAGCTGGAGCCTGGTACAGAGAAGAATTATGAGAGAAAAAAAAAAAAAAAAAGAAAATCAAAATATCCTCAAGCCGGCACAATGTGATGATATTTCTGAGCATTTTTGTGACTCGTCTCTGAGACGCTATCCAAGGCTCTTCCAGTGTCAAAGTTGCACTAAGATCTGGAAGACAGCCAAGAGTCATCTGGCTCAATGACCAGATTGATAATTTTAACAGAAAGATCCGAGCCATAAGGTATTCAGAAGAGGAATGTCAGAAGCCAGAAGGTGAACGGCACTCTTGCTTCTTGCAGGAACAGGAGCTTGAGGCTCAGGAGCTGGATGACTATCAAAATTGGGTTGCCAATGAATATATAAACCAGGCATCAGTGTGTTTAGGAAGACTAACATAGTGTGAACTTGCCACTGGAGGAGGTTCGATGGGGTTGCCCATCTAATAATGCCCGAATAGAAGAGCCCAGTGAGATGTTGCTCCTGTGTGTCCCGTTGCAGAGCCCAAAAGGAAGACCAATGATTGATGCCATGGCGGCTCTATACCGCAAAGGGAGCGCAGTGTCGGATCATCCAGCCCTGAAGGCTGGGAATGGTTGTTGTCCCACAGCCGGGTGCGCCCTTGATGTTAAAGGTGAGTTCGCACCTCAAGATATCTAGCTAACTGCGGGGTTCCCCCTTGCGCAATTAACAGCCTATTGACAAGGGAAAGATGGAGGCATATCTATAGTTGCCTAAAAGCTACCTTGAAGACGCAGCATAGTGTCCTTGATTTATGCCCTATATGTCATCGGTGGTACATTGACATGGGGGAGTTTGAAGTCCATTGTCAACATCACATCTATCACCCAGCAACGATTTCACTAGAGTATGGTTTCCTTGAAGTCTGTGGAACGCTTGCATGGTCCAGATTCTGCCCCCAATGCCTCAGCGATAAAAGCAAGAAAGCTCGACGTCGCATGGCTGCCTTCTACGATCAGCAGTCGCTGACTAGGCATATGAATCGTCACTACAATGACTCTACCTTGGTATTAGGCTGTGGTTCATTCATGGTTGTGATCTGCTTTTCGACTCAGTCCGAGAGCTTCAGTGTCATTATGATGATTTACACTGCATACCTGCTCCTAAAATATGGCGCAGTTGAGAACTGGCATTGGAGAGTAAAGTGCCTCATACTCCACAAGTTGTGGCGAATGACAGAACCAAGCTGGAAGTTCATGTCAACACTTCCGAGAGCTTTAAGCGCGATGGAATTGATATTGACAATGACGGAAAGGTGGAGCGCCCAAGAAGACAGCGAAAGAGCCAATTGGTGCTGCGGAACCTCCGGTTGTGGGGACCGGCCTTGCTGGCATGGATCTCTTCTTCGATCAGAAAACATTCTATTCAGTCCTTTCGGTCCCAGATCATGCCCTGGCTTTCTCCCGATACTGGTCGCCCTTATTCGGCCAATCCTGGTACTTTAAATTTCGTATTTCTCCTCCCGAAGACAGCACGCGTTTCACCTTTCCATAAACCCTATAGTATTTAGGGTATGCAGATATGACACTCAATCTTCCAAAAATAATGCCTGCAATTTCTTCATATCTTGAGTTAATGAGCATGCTATCTGGAGTTTTGATACTTTAAACCCAAAACTTAAACTTATTCCCGTTCGAAGGGGTAGGTTCTAGCTGTTTCTGCAACCGCAAATGTCTCGCCATGCTTCTAGAACGCGGGGCTCATATAATTGCGGTGTTATATGTCGCAGCTACTTCCGCGATTAATCCTCGTTGATAGTGTGATGAAAACTCTCATGGAGCCGCTCCGGTTTGCGTAATGTGAGATTGCATGAGAACCCGGTCTCTTATTACAACCTGTTATTCCCTGCTCAATAAAGTGCCGGGTAGGCTGGAGTGATGGCAGATGGGAGACGGATGTGAAGCACTGACCGGGCCTCAGGAATCGGGAAGTCTTGACAACAGGTTTTGAAGTCATAATACTGTTCCATATTTTTTGGAGATTGGGTTGAACCCGCTCTCCCTTTAACAGTTTTTCTTTCCTTTCAAAGGTAGTGTAGCTCAGGTACTATGGGGTCAAGTTTCCACATGTAAGGGCATGTCGATATATTCATGAGATTCAAGCAAAGTTACCGGTGTTGCAGTTGAGGTTATCCATCTGGCCTTTCTTCATTGTAACAGATGAGATAGGTTGTGCGAATTCATTTGATTGGGGAAAGCTTTTCCTCATGCTCTCTTCACTGCAACTTATCCCCTAGGTTGACCTTCTCAAGTCTCCTCCATGCATCCATATTCCTACAAGCCCTTCGCAAATTCACATATCTCTCCCCATTCCCTTTTTGCCTTTGGATATCCGTATCAATATACACACATATATATAGAGGTTTACCTTCCGAATCAACCCAGAAACCTTGGGTAACCTTTGATTTCCCGCGTTGTGGCTTCAATGGAATATATCCTGTTGGCAGTAACAACATGCGCCAAATTTACCTCCTAGGTATAACAGGAGTCTAAAAACCCCCTTGGATTTAATGATAGTATTAGTGTTTTTAGTTGACGTGGATGCGATCTGATTCCGTAGATCTCACCACCACTTCGGCCACAACGGCCGCCCAATGGTATCATCTCTCTTCATAGACTATACCTAAAGCCGAGACTATTTGGCAAGGCTTCGTGGGACCTAGGGCTCGTGATAAATCCCAAGAGCGCCATCATGGGATATAACAATGAACCACGAGCCGGAAATCCCCCCCACAGTCGTGTTCACCTCAGAAGTTGCATTCCCTAGGTTACTTCATCGCTCCAAAGTCCAGTGGCCTTGCAGTGTTCTTAAACCAAGAATCATCAATATCCCCTCCCCGCCTCCCCATATCATCGCCCATCTTCTTCGCACCACCCGATTTTCGCGGTAAATCTTCGTTCCTCGTCGGTGTCGGCTCAGCAGTCCACCATGGATGCTGCAATATTTGCCGCGCAGTGCTCCGTTTTCGCGGATCAAGCTTCAACATTGATGCAAGGAGGTCAGCACCTAATGGGCCCGCTGTAGGGAACTGGCGCATGAAGAAATCACGACCTTGCAATGGAGTGATTTGGATTTCATCGAGGGGTACGTAATTGGGGAGTTTTGTTACCCCGGGCCAGTTTTCCTCTGTGGGGGTTCCGAAGGCGCCGATGATTTTGGAGATTTGGTCCATGTCTGTGTTTCCTGCGGCAAATGGCACACGTAGGAGAAGCTCCGCAAAAACCATCCCCGAGGACCATATGTCTACTGCTCCAGAGTATTGGCGGGCACCGTACAGCAGCTCCAGCGGGCGGTACCAGCGGGTGATGACCTGATGGGTCATGTTCGCATAGGGGTCTGCAAACGACCGTGCCAAACCAAAATCGGCCAGTTTAACTTCCCCATCGGAGGCAATGAGTAAATTATTGGGTTTAATATCGCGATGTAGTACAAAATTTTCGTGGCAGAAACAGACTCCCCGGGCCAGCATTCCCATCCACGCTTTAACGTCTGCTGCTCCGTACTGGATATTACTATCTTTGATAAGCATTTCAAGATCTCCTAATGGGAGGAATTCCAGAACGAGGTTGAGATTCTGATCCTTAGATGAAAAGACGTCGTGGAGCGCTATGATATTAGGATGAGAGAGTTCTTGTAGATATTTAACTTCTCGAATAGCGTCCACAGAAAGACCATCTTTGTATTCTGAATTGAGCTTAATTTTTTTAATAGCCACAAGTGACGTTGGATCCGTTCGCAGGTGGCCAAGATACACGATAGCATATGTACCTTCTCCAAGCTTTTTATCTGAGCAGGAATCGAGTTAGCTCACACACACCAAGATGATGAGTTGGGACAGGCTATGGACAACAAACCTTTGATATATTTATGGCTTACGGCAGCATTTAATTGCTCAGCTGGCTCCGGCCCTCCCGCGAGATATGCCTCGCGCTCAGACCCAGACACCTGTCGTGAGGCAGCTTTTGCCATTGTCACAGAATTGCGCATTGAAAGGATATTCGAATTAGTACTAGGCCCACCGATAGCTGAATTGTTTCCAGCAGAGGAGAGAGTAACTACAGGCGATACTGCCATTGAAGGTGAATATCTAGGTCCCGTAGCCCGCAGAAGGAATCAAAGAAAGGGATGAGGGGAACGGAATGTGAGATCCAAACTGCAGGTTCAAGAGATATTGGTAGCAGGTCAATAAGTCACACCACAGCATCATAAGCACATATCAATCTATATCATCCGGGAACATAAGAAATGGATTAGATACTTAGTTGATCAGTAGTTGAAGTGTAGAAATTGTAGCAAATGGTTTGAAAGGAGATAAGTTTGATGACATAAACCGGGTGAATCTACAGCTTAAGGCCTGGTCTGGATGGATCATTGTTGTTCCGTCTCCTCCCAACAAGAGGATAAATTTTTGGAACTAATCATAAGAAAACCATTCGATATCGCCGGGCATCATCCGCTCGACTACAGCTCGGTAGGCATCTCGCCAACCAGATAAAATCTCCCAAGGCACCCAATGCTTCATACCATACGTCACACTTCATAGATGACGAAAATTATGCCCAATTGAGCTCTAGCGAGGCCCCTTAAACCTAGCATCAATCTGGGCACCACGCCTACCTGCGGATATACAGCTCAATCAATCCACCAATCCACTAACCATGGCGGTTCGAAACATATCCCTCAACACCTTCTTCCCTCGCTTTCTGACCTCATTCACCATCTTTCCCTCCGTCTCCACCTCAGCTTCCTCCCCTTCCACCTTACCCTCCCACCGATTCATCCGCCATCTCCATAAAGTCGCACAACCCGTCCACGTCCCCCCACCAACTCCCTTCGTCCCAGACTTGAAAACCTTCCTCTCCCTCATCGGCCGCAACATGGTCCGTTTCGCCCCTAAGTTTGCCTCATGGGATGAACTGTTCACACTTAGTTCCGCTCAGATGAAAGATCGGGGCATCGAGCCGCCGCGAAGTCGCCGGTATCTGCTACGCTGGCGCCAGAGGTTTCGGCGCGGAGAGTATGGTGTTGGCGGCGACTTTGATCATGTCGTTGATGGCGTGGCTCACTTGAGGGTTATAGAGGTAGCCCGGGATACGACGCAGGAGAAGAATGATAATACATCTTCGAGTCATGACGGCAACGATGGGTCGCAAAAGAGTGATAATATCCCCCCCCTTACAGTCACCGGTAGCGTAATGTTATCACCCGGCATGAAATGGGCTGTGGTCAACTTGCCGCCTGGCGAAACGGAGCCGAAAGAAATACCCCGGCCACTCAAGAGATATAAGGACGTGAGGCTTGTGCGTGGTGGGGTGCTAAGGGCACCGTATCTTAAAGTGCTTAAAGGAACGAATGGCACGGCTGGAACTATACAGGTGCAGGAGGGAATGTGGGAAGATCGACGAGGTCACAAGATTGATGGCGGTGAGAGGAGGCAGGTAGAGGTTAGGGCGAAGAGGAAGAGTGAGGAAAGGAAGAAGGCTATGTAGAAGCTTACGGGAAGGACAAGCATGTGATTTCCTTTTCTGCTTGGAGTAGATATGTATTTTAGTTGGCTTCTCTCTTGGTTCTTGTTGTTTTTAGAATCAGCTCTGTTAGATTCGGTTAACTACGCTGGGCATTTTTGTTGATTTAGTGTACATTCTTCAGGGAGAAAGAAAAAGTGCTATGATATAATAATTAAACATTCATTGTGATACGAGGCCCTCTCAAAGGGAAAAACACCCGAAGTAATTGATAATTATTAGAATCAGGAATCAGTATAAACTTAACACCAAAAAAAAAAAAGGGATAAAATAAAATGAAATAAAATAATCAATAAAAAACACTTGCATCAAGACCGTTCTAGCATTCACAGAGGTAGATGCTAATTATGATGTACTCGTCTAACGAAGAGAAAGGCCGTTGTTTATACAGAAATCCAGATGCCGCAGTCGGTGAGAAATATAAAGAGCGAAGCGGAATGGAATTTGTTAATTCTTGGCAGGATTTCTCTTTTCCCAGGCGACTAGCGGCTTTCCCAGAGGTTTAGAGAAAAGAGACTGGACAATTACATTAGTGACACAACGTTTTTCAAATGATAAAAGAGAGGTGAGGAATTATTTAGTCTTACTGAATAATCAGTCTCTGGCAGAGCAGTGTCGCCATCGAGTTCTTTCAACTTCAAGTGCCTTACGATAGCCACAAGAAGTGTGCCCAGTTGAACATATGCAAACTGCTCACCGATACACCGATGTCGTCCGGAGCCAAATGGAAGGTAGGGGCTGTTTCCACCTTTGCTTATCAAACCGTAGCCGTAGTCAAATTTCTCCTCGCTTTTGTCTTCCGCTTCGTCAGTTGCCATCCTTTCCCATCGGTGTGGATCCCAGGTCATGGGGTCCGGGAAGTGCTCTGGTAAACGTGATGTCACACCGGGAGCTGCAAGGAGGTTGTGAGAAACTGGGATTGTGTAGCGTGTTCCTTCGACGGGCATTGGCGACTTGACCGCGCGAAGAATGGAGTGAATTGGCGCATGAAGGCGGAGGGTTTCTCTGATGACGTGTGAGTTGAGGGTGAGTTGTTGAAGAGTCTCGTAGGTTACGGGCGGGAGGCTATCACCCAGTACCCGTTTCTGCTCCTCGTACAGTTCCTCTACAATATGCGGGCAGGTTGCAAGTCGGAGCACGATCCAAGACAAAGTCGACGAGGATGAATGCTGTCCCGCCATTAACAGGGCAATCATCATGTGCGCAATCTCGATATCTGGCAGTGGAGTTCCATCCTTGTAGACACAGGACATCAAATTCCAGACCATATCTTCGGTGTCCTTTATGCCACCAGCTTCACGTCGCTTGCGAATGATGTCTGTATAAATTGCGGCCATTTTTTTCTGGGCAGCATCACGCTTACGGTTATGTGGTAGTGGAGCCCAAGGAAACATAAAGTTGACTGCAGTGAATCCCATATCCAAATCGTGGTAAAGCTGCGCGAAGCTTGAGTCGAATTTGCTTCTCACTTCCTTTCCTTGCAACGACCGGGAGGCGGTATAGATGGTTATTTCGGCCATGCTCTTGCAGACATCGAGAATCCCTTTGTTACCCTGGAAAGCAGAGGAAGTTTCCATATACTGGTTGAATTCGTCGGTGATCAAGGTAACATATATGCGCAATGATTCCGAGGTCAATCCGAATTTGACAAACTAAAATTAATAAAATTCAGTAAATATTCTTTATCAACATAAGAAATTTAGTATATTTCTGATCCCATACCTTCTTCTGTTCCATCAGCTTCGAATTTGGGCAATCGTATACGACATGCCTGCCGAAAACGGGGGTTGTGAGAGGCGAGTAAACCTCCTCAGCGCAAACGTCCTTGAGCTTGCCGTTGAGAATGAAATCATTGCCTTTTACTCCAAGAAACACAGTTGTCTTTTTGCCAAGAAGGATAAATGTGAAGATATCACCGTACTATAAAATGGGATCAGAGGTTATTAGAGTCAATTGAAACAGAGGGACTTCCTGTTACCACCGGTTTGGGGATCTCGAAGTACATACCTTTTCCCTACAGCTCAGGAAGAACTTGTAAGGGTCAATTCCATAGGAAATGGTGCTCCCAATGATAGGGAACCAATGGAAGACAACGGGTGGCTCATTAGGGTTCTTGAAGAGGAGTTGGCGCAGAACGTTTATCAACACGGACAGAGCAATGAAGGAAACGAAACCAACGAGGAGGACGACCCAGAGCGACAGATTTGAGCAATGAGCGCAGATGCAGGCAACAACGTCCGCAAGAAGTCCCATGGCGGTGGCGCGATGGCGGAGGGAGTTTGCAGCGTGGTTGTTGCAGGAATTGAAGGGTGCTGAGCAAGCAGGGCGTTCGTTGGTTTGACCAAGGAGAATCTTTGAGAGTTATTTCGACAGATTAAAGGACGAAACTTTATGATGAAGCAAGATCACGTGTATATTTTGGCTTTGACTGGGGACATACACGTATACCTTTACCTCCACCAAAAATATGCATTATAGCAGGTACCCAACAACCATCGATACCAATTGTTACCAGGCACCAGCGTTTTAAGCCAATCACAACCAATCTGGACCTGGTAAGGATTAGCATGTCCAAGAGTAATACGAGCTCAAGAAACGTTGGACTAATGATTATTGGCATGATCTGGAGGGAAACAGTACGCCAGGCAGAAATCACGCCACTTAACGTAATTCCCAGGCGAGCGGCGCACCAAACTGCAATGTTGAAACTAACGTACCAATCTACCTGCTTTGACGCGTCAAAATGCCATCAATTGGCAATAAAAATAAAAGAAACTCTATAGAAATAGAGGACAGGATTCAGCTTGCAATTTCTTCTTTGAAAAATAAAGTCATGAAGCAGCAAGACTGCATAATGTTTCAGATTGTCAAATTGTACTCTTTTCCATTGATTGAATGATCATCTCTCATGTATGAACTTACATACAAATTCATACTGATTGACTGAAACTGAAAAATGAAATACTTGTTTAATGAGCGCTGAGTCTGATCAAATGAGAATTATCCTCTAGATTTGCTTTTGTGAAAAATATGATAAATCATCTTCTTGTCATATAAGATTTTACATTCTCTCATTCATATATTGATAAAAACTAAATTTTGTATCTAATAAATCACTGTATAGAATTTTAAAGTCAATATTTAAAATACTATAATAATATTTTTACTCAGTATGAGATTTAGTTTAAGAGTATCTATAATATTAATAAGACTAAATTGATAATAAGACTTTATATAACTATTAAATTATTATCAATTGTGAATAATATAATTATACAATATTTTATTAGTTTAAAAAATAAATTAATTTAGTTATTAAACTTAATAACTAAACATAACTTATAAAAAAGAAATATTTTACTTTTAAATTAATTAAATTTATATAGAAAATAGTATTATTTTTCTTTATATATTATTTTATTTATCATATCTATTATAGTTTATAAATATAAGGGGCTGAACCCCTAGATTTGCTCTGGCTGGCTGACTCAGCCTAGCCATCATTTGCATGTGCGCATATGATCATGCTATATGAGCTTGCTTAAGCTCATGTTCTCATCTCATTCTTTTCTTCCCTTTCCTAAGCAATTCATTCTTGTTATATAGGAGGACTAGCCTCTAGTTCTTAGAACTTAACCCTCTACATTATAAATTGCTTCACTTCTTTCATTGATAGATCACTGAGAGTCTTAATTCTGTATCATGAAGCTTAGCAAATGTGCTGACATACAACAGACTATTGAGAGCCTTAAATTCTGCATCATAAAGTTCAGTGATAGCACTGGTATATGAATAGACTGAGTTAGCAATCATGCTAACAAATGAATGAGCAATATTGAAAATATCTAGCTGAATGAGATAAAGCAGCAGACTTGTACAATGAATACACAAATGAATCAATATGAAGCAATGAGCAGAGACACTCTCAGTAGCTTTGAATAACAATGAATGACCTTTCTTCAACAGCAAAAACAGGTTCAGTGTGAGAACAGAGATTTAATAGCAGCTCAGCAAGCTGAAATAGCTAATCTATGACAAGCTTTGAACATCTCAACATCAACTCTCTCTCAATTGAATCTACAATCACTCATTGCAGTCAGAAGACCAAAGATCAAGCTACTGAACTGTGAGAAGTATGATGATTCTAATCTGAAGCACTACCCTCAGTGAAAGCTAAAGCTTCAATCAAAACTTAAGATCAATGAGAAAGCTTTAGATAATAATGAGGAATGTGCTTGATATGTGTACTCAAGACTGAAAGAAATAGCAGCAGCTCAAGTTTATCTCTGAATTGAGAATAATAAGAACAAGATCAACTTCATAGTAGAGAGCTTACTGAAGCAAACACACATACTCTTTAGTGATTCTGCACAACAGAAAAAGGCTATGCAAAAGCTCAATAATCTATGATAGAGTAGAAGAGCTCTCTTTGACTTTCTGTCTGAATTTAATCAGCTACTGCTGGAAGCTGATGGTCACAGATGAAATGATCATATTAAAAAGAGGTATTTAAAATCCACTCTAAGCATGGAGCTGAGGGAAGGCATGGTGAGTGTAAGAGAATTATCTCTCTATGAGAATTACTGCAAGGAGCTTAAATTAGTTAATTATCAACTCTCTGAGCTTAAGACTTTAAAACAGTGGTCTAAATATCACAAGAGCAGATCTTCTTCAGATTATACAACATCTAATTCACACTCTTCACTTTGTCATACTGTTCTTGATTGATGAAACTGATCTCAAGCTTCTGCTGATAATCTAATGAATTTCTCTCCTGGTGTTGTGATCTCAAGTGTCTGCCACATCAAATTGATAAATCAGACAGAGATTAATCAACAAAGAGAGCAAGGCCTGTGCCTGAGATGCAAAGCTGAAGGTCATATGATTAAGAGCTACTCATTCAAACCTTTTAGATGCTCTACTACTCTCATGATAGCTAAGATGATTCTCAAGCTGGTACTGGA